CCCCCCGCCTCTGGCTGTGGGTATACCCGCAATTTTGCCAGCCCGTTTCTGGGCATGGGCATAATTTCTTTGCCTGGAACTCTGGGCCTGCGGGACCGGGTATGCCTAAAAAAAAATTCACAGGGGAAAAGTCGGGTACCATGCAAAGTTGAACGGGGTCCGGGGGTATAGATGGAAGTTGGGCGCTGGGACTGGGGTTAGCCGGTATGTTCCCATCTTTAAGTGGGGTACAGATGCAATTTCCCCATTTTCCCAAAAGAAGAAACAGAATCTGCACTGGATCGTCCTACCGGCACACCAGTTAACCCGACCGTCTTCCTCGGAACAGAACGTCCGGTCATTATCTCTGCGCCTGGACAGAAAGTTGCTCCACATGCATAATCACTGGATAGCAGTATACAGTGCTATACACTCTCTTGGGGTGAAAAGACGGTACTAACAGATCTGTCTGCCACGACAAGCAATTTGTCTTTTTTTTTCTTTTCTTCAACTGCCCAAGGAAATAAAAAAGTAACTTCTAAATATTGGGTCAAAAGTTCCACTGCAACGGTTGCCCTTCTTTTTTTTTTTTTTTTTTTTTTTAAACAGTCCCTCCAGTGCTAGCGATGCTGTTTAGAGCAGACATTGCTAGCACCTGGGGAGAGGCTCCATCTATTGGTGGGGACTGTCTATTCGTTGAAGGAAAAAGAAGAAGTAAGGGAGGAAGAAAAGAAAGAAGAAATCCCCGGCCAGGATAACTCCGGGTTGTGTCTGAGCATTGCTCGTAATCTAAACTGGCTAATGCTGCCAGGATAACTCCGGGTTGAATTGTGAGGTCCCTGGCCTCTGTTCCATTCATTTTGATATCAAAGTTAAAGCTTTCCAAAAAAAAAAAGAAAAAAGGAAGGGGAAAAAAAAGGAAAAGAGAAGATAAGAAAGAAGAAATCCAAGAGGAGGACGAAAAGAAAGAAGAAATCCAAGAGAAGAAAAGGGAGGACGAAGGGATGGATGCCTAGACTGCTTCTTTCTCGAAGGCACGCCTTTGCCCATTTTTGTGACCCCTTTCCCCCACACCCCCTTTCCCTGGTGGATGCGCAATGGTACGGGATGTAGGTAGGCTTGGGATGAATCGAATAGTTGGCACCCTATTGGGGCTGAAGAGGCCAATACATCCTAGGTCAATTGGATATTGATCTCACCTTGATGTGTGTGTGTGTGTGTGTTCTTGCTTTTTCCTTCGGGTGTAATGCTTCCGATTGTGAGTTAAATGTGTACGTTAGTGAACACTATCATTATCATCAGCACTACCGGTCTTCCCGCGAACAGTACGTTCGGGCCGGATGTGTATCTGCCCTGACAATGAAAGGTTGAAAAGTAAGGAAGTTAAAACGTGTACTTCATCATTTAATTTGTAAGCTACAGTCACCGTGAAATAGCGCCCAGATCAGAGGGGGTGGAGACGGGTGGATCTCCCCGCCTCCACTTCTGCCTAAAATACTACAGCAAGGCAGCTTCACCTGCTGCGGCACAGTTAGACCCCCATGTGTTGGTGGTTCGAATCCACTTCTGAACAGGCAACATCCTCTCCTCGTCTTCAGAAACTCAGGCCGCAGCAAGGTGAACTTAACTTTCAGAGTGAGTAGAGGCTAAGGATGGATTCAAACCATCATTCGCGACATCTGCTGCCCAACGCACGATGCCAGCGCTGAGATACTGGGCCTCGCCGCACCGCTCACCAAATGCACAAAGACAAAGTATGACCGTGTATCTTTCCATGTTTTAGCAGAACA